CAGGAAAGCTATTCAGCAACTCTATGGTAAGAGCAAAACATTCAAAATTTAAATTTCAACAACTGATGAATATTTTAAACCATTAAAGGCATTTTGCTGTTGTTAGAGCCTGCTATTAATATATCCAGTAGCAATAAAGAATGATCAATTACAATAACATTGGAGACGACATTGAGGCATGCTTTTAGAATTATGTCATAGATCCTTCTACAGCTTAGTCTCTCCCTAGCTTGTTGGTAAGGTGCAAATGTAAACTTTTTTTAATTTTAAAGGTCTCTGGACTTGTCCATCAGATCTTTCATTGACAAACTAACCAAAAAAACAACGTGCAATGGAATTCTTGTAGAGCTGCATTATTGGTTAGTTTGTCAATGAAAGATCTGAGCTTACAGAAAAGTTGATTAAACAATTTAATTCTAGGATAAGAAGCTGGTGGACAAGTCCAGAGATCTTTAAAATTAAAAAAAAAAGTTTACATTTGCACCTTACAAAATACTTAAAAACAATTTATGTTTACAATATACAATATTGCTCTTTGACCCTTTCATAGAGGCTTAAAAAATGCAGATATCAAGTCAGAGGACATACTAAGTGGGGTGACTAAAGAACCTCGAGTTTCTTAAATGAGAAATAGTGGTGACATAGGGGAGAGGCCTAATCCTCACCCCTCCAATACGATACTTTGTAACATTTTACTTCACAAAACCACTTCATAACTGATTAGCCTTCCTGGAAGGACGAAACAATTTAAAGAGAAAAATACCCTGGGAAAAGAGATGAGAATCAGTCAACAAGACCCTGATTTATCATACTTAATATCTAATTTACCTTCAGTATGCTGAGATTTCTGACCCGAATTAACCCACCTCTTCTTCGATGGAATTAACAAGCAATGTGAACAAATGGCAATTTGCTCCATAACACATTTTTCTGAGAAAAGATGAACCTCCAGACATCTAGCTCTCAATCAATCTAAATGCCTCCCACTTCTCCCCAATTTGTCTAATTGAAATAATCTTATCTTAAAAGTTCCAGTGGCATATAAACTGACGGTGGGTCAGAGATGAGTGACAGAAGTAGTAGTTAGGGAGCAATGTGAAAAGGATGTAAAGTGAGATTCTGTTCTAAATGTGTTTGTAGAGAATTGTGGATGAATGCAAGAATTTTAAAACATTTGACATATTCAACACAAGGAATTCCAATTTTGTATAACATTTCAACTCTTAATTACTTTTGACTACAGTCTGTAATTAGATAGTAATCTTCAGTAGTGCATTTAGTGAGGGTTTTTAGTGCATAAA